GAGAGATGAAGAGAGAGAGAGATCAAGTGAGAGAGAGATGAAGAGAGAGAGAGATGAAGAGAGAGAGAGAGAGAGAGAGTGTGTGTGTTTGAGAGTTTGAGAGAGAGAGTTTGAGATGCACCTGCAAATGGCAGCCGTGAGGTGGGATGCGAGCTCTCTCCCTCTCCCTCACTCACTCTCACTCTCTCTCTGTGTGTGCCCGCGTGTGTGTGTGGGATGTGAGGGATAGCATTTATCGTGCGCGCACGCCTCTGTGTGTGTGTGTGTGTGTGTGTGGAGCGATGCGCGGTGTTGATGTGTCTGAAATGATGGCCAGGGTTGTTTGGGAATATGCACAGGGCGCGCTCGTCATGTGATCGGATCGGGTGTGTGTGTGTGCGTGTGGCGGTGGGGTTGAATCTGATGGCTCGTGCATGTTGCGGCGGTGGCGGGGGGTTGGTTGTAGGCGCTTACCCGACGCCATGGCGTTTCGCGGCTGTGTTTGGGCTCTGGCGCTGCTGTTGCTCGCGAGTGGCGCGGCGGCCGGTAGGATCCGCCCACCTCAACGCCTTGCACCCGGTGCCAAGGACTGCCACCGGCTCACGCTTGGCGCTTCTGTTCTCTCCTTTCTGTCTTTCTTTCTTCTAGACTGTGCCTATGAAGACTGGCAAGCCTGTGCCATGAATGCGGTAAATCTTGGCTTTGATCTTCCCTTGCCTCATCATCGAGCAAAACGCCCCCTTCTTCTGCCCCGCTTCGCCTGGGGAGCCGCGGGTCGCGCAAAGCCTTGCGGGGTCCACAACCATGTTTCGGCCCACACGTTCACAGACCACATCTTGACATGCGTCGTCACACACACACACACAACCATTCATCAAGCAGGCACTCACTCAAAGCTCACGCACATGCCCTGTGGCTATAGACGGGTGCTTGCGTTCGTTCCCGTTATTTGCCCCCGGAGACGCCCCCCACCTGCAACCTCCCGCCTTCCGAGTCCGAGTTGTGCAGTGATGTGTCGCTGTGTGGTACGGTTCTCCGTCCTCCACATGCCCACGACTGCGTCCGCACACGCATCTCATATTCGGCCTGCGTGCTCTCTCCTCTCGTCGTGCTTTTGACTCATTTTCGGCTCGTGTCCCAGACTGCACTGTAAGCGCTTGGACAGAGTGGTCCGATTGCACCCGCACTTGCGGTAACGGCACGCAAACACGCTCCCGCGTGGTGATCAAGGTCCGCGCCACGCCTTGCCCGCGACCGTATTCACACCCCCTACCCGGCACTTGCGCACCGCATTTCAAGTCAAAGAGCCATGTGCCATCAACCACTTGTTTCACTCACCCGACCGCTGTCCTCCTTTGATCAATGGGGGCTTAGAATGGACCCAATTGCCCCGGCTTGATGCAAACTCGCGAGTGCAACCTTGCCGAGTGCCCAGGCCCCATGATTGAGGTGGATGACGGAGATATGGTTTTCAACGGTACGCACGCCAGCAGGGGCGACAGCCCAGCCCAGCCCAGCCCAGCCGCACCCACCAACTTGTCTTTGTATTGATTGCTCTTCTCATCGCCCAGTTGCTCAGTCGCTGACACGGTGGATGCTGCCGGCTGTTTGGGAATATCACAGTCGACCAGGCCCACAAGTTTTATTTGCAGCAAGGAAGTTCCAAGGTGGAGCTTCGCTCGGGTCTGGGTGCCGCCACGCAAGATGCCGTCCTGAACATTGAAGCCAGCGTGAGTTTGTGACAAGGCATGAGACGACGGCAAAAGTACAATGCCGCTCTACCTTGCTCCTTTTCACCCATTCCTCTTTCCATGCAGGTCAACACACGCTTGCAGACCACAGAGGAAGCGCAAGACGGTCTCTATGACGACATTTTGGCATCCAACACCGCTCGCGTGACCATGGTTGGTCGTGTGCAAGCGGCCCAATCATGCTTGATCAGGCTCTTTTGCTTTTGCCTCTGCCTCTGCCGCTGCTGCTGCCTCTGCCTCTCCCCCCCCCCGCCTTTTTTTTTTTCTTGCTCGCAACAGAAGATACCGACTGCTCCTTACAAATTACCGCGCGTATTGCCGACGCTCAACTACATAGGGCGAGTCGCTCGAAACCAAGCTGCAGGGGCTTGATACCAAATGGGCCATCGAGGTTGAGGCAGTTAACAGCAGCCTCCGCGAACAGGTTGCCTCAGTTGCAGCACTGGCGGAAGGTGTGGACGGCCGCCTCGATGAGGAGATTGGATCATTGTTGGCGCTCCTGGCCACCAACATGTCGGATGCGGCAGACCAGGACGTTGCCCACAACGAGTCACTTGTCTTTCTTCTCTCAGGTAGGTTTGCAAGCGCAAATTGTAGGCCTCTAAAGTGGTATTCTCATCTCTAGGGCGGCGCGCCTGCTTGCTCGTCATGCCTTTCAGAATTGGCCCGGGTCGATGAGGATTTGGGGGCCGTGGTCAACAGCTCAGCCGTGCAAAATCTACGCTTGACGACTGTTGAGGACCAAATGGCCGCGATGCGCATCTGCAATCGGCTTGGCAAGGTGTGCGCAACACGCGCTCCCGCTCGCTTGTAGACGTCTCCTTATTGCGTAGCCCTTTCCCATGCTCATTCGTGGATGCGTGCGGTGCACGGTCAGGTCTATAATCCGGACATTGAGGACTGCGTTGGCGGGGCCGAGGTGGCAGTCGACAGTGGTACCTGCGATGGCACCAACGTCGGTTTGTTGAAGATTGACTCAACAGATCAAGTTTTGCTTTATTGCGACGGCACGCAATTTCAGCCTTTGACTTTTGCTGAAAGCATCCAACGTACGTTCGAATGGGCGTCGAATATTGGCCATTCTGTGAAGGGGTTGCTTGCTCTGTTTATTGCGATGGCACAAGCATTTTTGTTGTCGCAACTTATGCCTCGGCTCGTTTTCACCCGCTTTTGGCGGCGAGTCTTCCTTGTCGTCGTTGCACTCACCTCTCACTTCAAAATCAATTGCGTAGGCGGTACAACTCCGAGCTTGCCCGCGGCCGGGTGCGAGCACGTGGCCGCCACCACAGATGGCCTCTATTGGATTCAGCGTGAGGGCGAAGTGCTTCACCAGGAATACTGCATCCAATCTGCTTCGCGCTTTTCTGCCGGTGGTGACGGCAGCGTTCACGCGCCCGCCGTGAGCTGTGGCATGCTGCAGCGCTTCTTTGAACGCACCCACACCGAGCGTGGGCTTTATTGGATCAACGCAGGCCTCAATCTTGACCCGAGTGCGTACTGCCCACTGGCTCTCCCCTCTTTTGTTGACGGCAGTCAATTCTGTTGTGGTACACGTTCAAATGTCTCACACTGGATATGGTTGGCAGCTGATGCCACGAACACCAAAGTCCAGGAGTATTGCGTCTTTGATGGCCAATTCACTGGCTCGGGCTCGAGCTCCTCTTCGCCGGCCGTGTCCTGCAGTTCGATCCTGCAGTATTTTCCAGAGCGCGCGCCTCATATCAGTGGTGTCTACTGGATCGAAGCTGAAAATGCCCTGCCCGCCCAAGTCTATTGCGACATGGAGACGGAAGGTACGTCACGCCGGCTTGTTTTTGCATTTGGAATGAAGCGTGACATGTTCACGTGAGGTCTCGCTTGCTCATCAAAATCAGGCGGCGGCTGGACGCTGGTGGCCAAGGTCAAGGGCCAGGACGCAGTCATGAACGGCCTCAACACTGCCCAGTACGTAAATCAAGTCACGGTTTCCGCGTGGAAGGAGCGTTGCGATTGTCTGTTTTGAGCTTGGGCATTCACCTAGCCAAATCTGGTATTTTTTTTTTTTTTTCTTCTTCGTTTCAACTTTCTCAGATGGCGCGATGGCGACGAGATTGGATCCACTACTAGCTTGAGCGACGAAAATGCGCTTGGCCCTGCTTATAGCACCACGCCGTTCACTGACGGTGAGTCTGATACTTGCAAGGCACCAACCAGGACAATGCGCACCTCAGCGTCTCGTCCTTTCTATACGTTTCGATAGAATGGCCTTCCGAAACCATTCTATTCATGCCCTGTGGTCTTTTTTAGTCATGGTGCGCTCGCTGACCGCTCCGGATCGCAACATGGGCTGGCGCCACCCCACCCAACATGCTAATTTGAGGAGCGTTGTTCGAGCCTGTAATCCCGTCGATGACGGCCAGCTACTGTTTGGTGCTGTGCATAATCTCGACTACCCAGGTCAGTGTCGCAATAAGTCACCACCGTGCCGGTCCTTGGATACGCAGCGGCTGCAATAAGGGCGACACTCGACTTGAGTTGGGTGCTCACTGTCCTGGTATGCCATGCTGCTGTTTTGTTGCTGTTTTGATCAGGTGCCCCTTACGGCAACAACTACTACCGGGGCTGCACTCGACTCAAATATGGCATGCTGCTCGGCGATAGCACCGGTTATACTGTAAGTCTGGAGTTGAGCTGCGTCGTCTGCATCCCGTACCGCTGCCAGCTGCAAATACGTTTATGCCGCGTGCATGTTGAAATCGTATCATGCCATTCTGCCTGTAGTATTCGGGCTACCTGGGTTGCTCCCCAATTGTCACCGGGCATTCACTTGGTGTAGTTGGAGCTGCTATCCCGGCCTCTCTTGGACCCACCGTGCAAAATACGGATACTCAACGTGATATCATTTTTGAGGTTTGCTCACAATCACGCCTCGCTTTTTGTATTGCGATTGCTGTCCAGCTATTGCGCCATGTTATCTGATCTCTGTTCCTGGTACCAACAGTGTGTCACTAATTTTGGCGTCGGTTCGGGCTACATCCTGAGGCCCAACTCGGGCGGGGATGATACCTATGCCCTCAATGCTCACTGGTATGTTTGAATATGCTTGTTTTGCGTGGTGAACCCGAGGCAAAATCAACCCTTGATCTGCTGGAGCCGTAGCGAAAGCGCTCACTTCCATGCTGTTTGGCGGTGTTTGTGCGGTTTAGGTGGGGTGCCGGCAACACTCAAACAAATGTGTGGAATTCTCACGGTGTTTTTTTGCGTGACCACGCGCCCGTGAGTTGGGGCGGGGACGGCTCAAGCAAGATTCGGGCTGGCTTGTCGTGCCAGACTATCAAGGAGCGCTTTGGTGTTTCCGACTCGGGCCTGCGATGGATCTTTGCTGGTGAGTGCCTGTTCTTTTTCCATTGTTTGGACCTAAATTTGCTCAGGGGTAGATTGCTGGTTTGTTCGGTTGTTTGTTTGTGAATCTTGGATCTTCTCATTCCCGGACGACGCCTGAGCAGATGAGACACCTGGACCCGGGCAAGCAATGCCAGTGTGGTGTGACATGTCTGCCGCCGGAGTCAGCTTGGGCTCGGACGGTACCACTGCCAAGCGCTGGTCACGCAGCTGCAGCCACATCAAGATGTTCTTTCCCCATGCCGCCCTCAAGAGTACCAGTGCTTGGGTGTGGGATACAAAGTACAACGAAGCTCGCGAAGTGTTTTGCGATCAAAAGTCGCTTGGTGGTGGTTGGGAGTTGACGGCCAAATCAGGCGCACTCAGCAGTACCCTCAACTCACGCAACTGGCGCAACCTCAAGTATGGCGTGTACTTGAATCAAATTTTCGATACCGCAGACGCAAACGGCTTGGGAACCGGCTACTACTCGGCGGAAGTGGAAGACGTGATGATTCGCTCTCTTGCCATGCCAACACGATTGTTCGCCTATCACATGCCCAGCACTGAACCATCTACCCAGGTCATTGTGAACGAGTGCCGTTACCGCGACAACGGGATCCTGCTTGCAGGCTCACCCACTGATTTGGAGTACTGGGGAAGCGGCGACGGTGATTTCATCACTCGCATGCGCATGTGTAGCGCGGTAGCTGAACGGCGCTACGGCTTCTTGGTACCAGACACGACGGGAACAAGTTCGTATACCCGTTTTGGATGCAGCGGTGCCAATCGCAACCATGCCCTTGGTGTATTTGGATATGGCATAGTTGTTAACGGTACTCGGAACTATGGTTCGGATGATGGAATCCGCGTTCATTGTCTGACAAACTTTGGCATGTTTGGTCAGTGATACAGGCTGGCATTTGATGTTGTGTTCCCCTCTTTGTCGTATTGCGCGTTGGGTCATATCTTGCTCGTTGCAGAACCGCCTAGCTCGTGCTGTTTTGCGTGCGACGCTCTCTCGGTTTTACACAGCCATTGCTCAATCACTTTGTAACAAGCATTTATCTCAACAACTCCTTCGGCTCTTTGCTAGGCGGGTATGTAGACGTCTCTTCCGGTACTCATTTGTACGCCATCAACGCACACTGGTGGGGCGCTGGTAACGCCAAAGTGGCCAATTTCAAGGCCCACGGTGCTTGGGTTCGCCACTTGCCAGATCGTGTATCCATATCAGCTTTTTGGAACGCCGGCAACGGAAGCACCGCAGCGATGGCTGGTCTTTCGTGCGAGCAGCTGGCTTTTGAGTTTCAAGCAACCACGTCCGGTAAATATTGGCTACGTCGGACACTGGCAGCCACGCCGGTGCAGGTGAGAGAACATCAACTGCTGCGGCGCTGATTGTCATTATCGAAGAACTCATGGTTAGAATAACTGACACGATGTCCTTCACGATGACCTCGGGTCCGACCTAGGTTTGGTGCGAGTTTACTCAAGGCAGCGTGACGGACATGGGTGGAGATGGTTCCAGTGAGCTGGCTGCGGCTTCCGATTGCCGGAGTGCCCAGCAGCTGTTTGGACAGACCACCTCCGGCAGCTACTGGCTGTTCAACCGGGCCCAAGACTCACTGTTCTCTAGCAAGGTTTACTGCGACATGGTACGTTCCGCTTCAACCTGCGATGGCACTTGTTGAGCCTTGGCATTAAGATAACGTTACAATGTGGCGCAGACGACTGAGTCCGGCGGTTGGACGCTGGTGGCCATTGTCAAGGGCAACGACGCCACGCTCAACAGCAAAAATTGGGATGCCTGGCGTCATGCCAGCCTGGTGGGGAGCACGGAAACCATGGCTGACATCAATGCGCTGGGCCCAGCTTATGTCGGTGTGCCTTTTTCGGATGTGATGATTCGGTCGGTCAACGACCCGAGCAAGAATCTTGGCTGGCGTCATCCAACGCAGTATGATTCGCTGCACAGCGTGATTTACAAGTGTGAGGCCGTCACCAATGGTGCCAAGCTCTTTGGTGGCATTGCAAACCTGGATAGCACCTCGATTAACAACGGCTACTACGTGGAGTGTGCCAACACTAAATTTGGCATGTTTGTACCCGATCAGACCACCTCTTACACAGCCATTGCAGGTTGCGGGAACCTCTATTCAGGCTACGCTGGTGCCGTCGTGGGCTGGGGTGTCTTACAGCCCCATTCAACCACGAACTGTGTCACAAGCGGCGGCGTCGGCGCTGGGTATGTTCAACGCCCTGCTCTTTTCACGTAGCGTGGTGAGCTGGTTAAAAACCATGCGCTGACCTGACTGTTGTGCCTTTGCCTCTCTTCTCTAGCTACGCTGGGGTTGCCTCGGGGGACGATGTCTACGCCATCAATGCTCACAACTGGGGATCCAGTAACGATAATGTCTGGAACTGGAACTCGCACGCCATCTTTGTACGCCGACAGTAGAGGCTAGGGCCTCTCTTCCGCGCCACTGCCCCAGGCTAACCCTTGCAAAAAACACGCGAGGGCTCCTGTTGCAGTTTCACATGGCCCCCCTACCCGAAGCAACACACACACAAACAGCTGTGGCACATCAATTTGTGAATTCAGTCATTGTCATTTGGATCACAAACATCATTAAGCAACCGTCTGTTAACAGCAACTTTTGTCTAGCTCATGATCAAGCGTTCAATGGGCACGGGCACTTGCAAAGAGGCCTGAAGCGTGTCCCACCCTGAGACAAAAGTTTCAAATGGTGAGCCGTCGTGAGAATCTGTGAGCGCAACAGCGCGCACCATGGCATTGCACCCCACGAGAGTTGGTGTAAGTGTGTCACTTGAGTCATGAGGGCACGCACCCAAAGCTGCAGCCGCCTTCTGGGCACTGTCCGCCTGCTCCTTGGACCATTTCGTTTTGCCTTCCTGCAAGAGGCGTTCCAAGAGGCGACCATGTTGCTCCTTGGCTTGAAAGAAGGCCACCTCTGCAGCCATTTGCTCCTAAGTCAGAGTACGTAAGATGCATGAGCATGTCCTCCTAGAAACTTGAAAGACATAGGTCCGTCTGCGTCTGAACTGCCCACACAAACCTTGTCGGACAGCTTGACCCAGCCTTGAAGGCGTGTGCGCACAGCCTCGGCCTCGGCAATACGATCAGTTTTGCCGTTGGTGGTTGCATCGAACAGCACGGCCTCGAGCTAAATCGGGCAACAATGAATATTTCGCACATCAGTATTTTTTTTTTTCAAAAACAAGCGGCCGCTTGAATAAGAACAAAAGAACAAATCGTCCAGCAGCAATGGCAAGCCGCCACGTGGAATAAAGCCAGTACAGGTGGTGTCAAAGCCACGCGCCAACCTTTTTGCGAAGGGCGGCAATGAGGCTCGCCTTTGCATCAGCCTGTTTCTTGGCGGCGCTGGCTTCTTCGGGAGTGGTCGGGTCAATGCTCAGTCGACCGGCACCGGCAGCAATGGCATCCTCGTCCAGCAATGCCAGGAGGCGGTCGGCCACCGACTCGGCGTAGTCGCGGTTCTGATGACACGAGAAAGACGATGATGTGAACTCAAACAGCAAAGACGAGCCCACCACGGCGAAAATGGCGTGGTACGTGGCCTTGCCACCAGTGCTGTGTTTGGGGCAATTTGTCGTGAACTTGGGCCTACCTTGTCCGTCACTGCACCAAGCTTCTCAAGGCGTTGGGTCAGATAAGCTTGGTCCTTTTCAAACTCGGTTTCCAAATCCTTAACCACTTCAAGATGCTCGACGGGCAGCCTGTTCAAGCCGCAGCATGCGCGAGAGCAGCGGTCAGCACCTCAGAGGCTGGGGTTGACAGAAAAAGCTTGGGCATACATACAACAAAAGTGCCTTGCGCTTGTCGGCAACAACTGAGTCCTCCTCCGTAGGCTTGGGCTTTGGCAGCGACGCGCTGTCATCAGTCGTCTTCTTGGAGCGCGGTGCCACCGTGCAGACCAGGTTGGCATACACTGATTTGGAGGCCTGTACTCAACGGCCACAGCGCATGGGTGAATGTCAAATGCCACATCTGCTGATACCGAAGGAGCCATACGGCCGGGCAAGCAAGGCCAATGCTCACTTCATGTGATGAGGGCAGAAGCGAGAGTTTGCCCAGAAGCACATCGCCCGCTTCGGCAAGCTTGGGCAGGCTGGCATCGGTCGGAGGCTCGACAAAGAAAGAGGTGCGCCTGGTGTCATCAGACGATACCACGGGATCATCAGTCTGGTGCGAGAGAAGGGGTCACAGGTGCCCAGCAAAGCAGGGCTTACTGCTGAGTGGGCAGGCGCATGTGTACCGATCCACCCTGGACAATGGCGGGGGTTTTGTCCACGGCCACATCGACAGCCTATGGCAAGGGTTGCAAGACTGTATAAGTGGCGTTCTCCGCTGAGCATTCAAATCAGTGTTTGGGTTCCAGCTGGGGTTGCCACCTTGATTTTGATGTCCAAGTTGAGAGCCAAGTCCTTATACTTTTCCAGCCAGGCCGTGTCATCATGGCGAATCTACACCAACAAGAAAAAATCCCGGGTGATGGGGTGAGAAATGTCGAACCTGCGTGTCAGGGGCAAATTAAAAGCTGCGATACGAAGCTTAAACGTACCTCAGCACGAAGGGTGTACTTGCCCTTGTCGAGCTCTGTCGAGTAACGGCCAAAGGCATCGGCAAAGAGAACCGGAAATTTTTTCTCGTTCAGAATGACCATGAGTTGGCTCTCAGCGGCACTTTCATAAAGCACCTCAGAAAGCTGTGCTAAACGCGGGACGACCTTGGCCTGAGGGCACAACGCCGAAAACGGGAGGGGTTGGCATGAAATGTGGCAAAGGCAAAAAGAAACGAAAAGACAAGAAAACCACTGTTGAAAGCAAGATGGGAGGGGGTGCCACCGGATTCATGTCTCTGAAAACATCAAAAATCAAAAACCAAAAAAAATAAAAAAATAAAAAAAAAAAATAAAATAAAAACAAAAACAAACCAAACACACCAACCTTCTCGGCCAGATTCAGCTCGTAGGTCAGCTCCAAGGCATGTGTTTGCTTGCCGTTGAACATGGTGTTTTCCGGACCACTTTTGCAAATGATGGCATGTTGTGTGGGGCGAAGGGACTTGCGCAACGTCTCGAGCTTGCCCGAAGGTTTCATGGTGAAGGGAGCAAATGTATTGTCGAACATCTAAGAAGGTCGGGCACGCATCAGACAGGCACAGGGTTGCGTCTCGACCTCATACCACCGCAAGGTAGAGAAGCTTCATGGCGATTATCCAAGCATGGACGCTTATTCAGGCATGGGAGCATGGGAGGCTCACATACCACGCGCGCAGCCGAGCCACCTGAAGAGAGAGCCACGGTCTGCTGGCTGACATCAAGGGGATGAAAGTCGATGGATACGTCCACCTATCAACGGGGTGATGAGTCGGCCGGATGAGCGTTGAGGTCCGGGAAAGGGGGCTGAGCGAGGCAAGGCAATGGTGTACCTCGGATGGAAGGCTGTGGCTCCACCACTGGCCAACGCACACCTCGATGACTGTGTCAGCCACGATGCGCTGAGTAAAGACGCGCGACTCATTGGCCTGCATCATACAGTATTGCTCCATTTCGTGTGCAGAGTAGGGCGTGTCCGGAACAGTTTGCAGCATGTGCAAAACAATGCGCTTCTCGCCTTCGCATTGCCCCAGGGTCAGACGCACGGTACACGCTCCCGCGCCTTCGGGAGGCAGGACAAAGAGGCGCTGTGCCGATCGTATTGTGCCAGTACCATCGCAGATTGAGCATTGAAATGCACCATGCGAGACAAAGCAGCAAAGAAGCGGAATGTGATTTTCTGCGAGGCGACTGCACGCGAGTTGCAATTTGTCGAGGCATGGGGCTTCAAGTTCGTACGTGCAGATCACCACCCGTTAGCTGAAGCTTTGGAAATTGGAGAGGCGCGGTGGGGGCGGTTGGGCGATGGGGCTTGAAGACAGTCACAGCATGGCGAGCAATGGGACCGAAAGCAGTGTTTTCAGAGTCAAACACGCGAATCTCCGTGCCATGCAGCCCAGGCTCAAGTGCCTCCGTATCCAACTATGAGATGATGTCGAACAGCACGGGTCAAACTGGGGTTTCAGCCGATAGGTGGCATCACCAACGAATGGACTGGAGGAAGGCGATTGGGTGACAGGCAGATCGTGATGGCACTGAACATACACGAATGGGCACGAGCTTGCCAGCAGCCGTCAAGAAGACGGATGACGGCACGTTGAGCCATGACGCAGTTGTTTGGAGGCGTGCCATAATGTCTATGCAGGTAGCCCACCAGACGAAGCGTCAGCAAACCACTCTAGTCCCCACCGGGCCTCTGCTCGACAGTACAGAATGAAGTTCCAGACTGTTTCAACCACGGCAAAGCACGTACTGTAGTTGATCTTGAGTTGAGGGTCGATCTCATCATGCATATCAGGAGCAATGGCAAGGTTTGTTTGGTAAAGTCCTCCTCGAAAGTGCTGACGTTGGTTGAGCAAGGAGCCAGCCGAGGTGATAATGTTGGTGGCATTGACTGGTAGATCAGCGTATTGCTGCAAGTGTTCAAAGGCGCCAGGAATCTGGATCAGTCCATGTCCGACGTCGTACATGGTGCAGCCTGGCACGGGACGGGCCTAAGTCAGGGGTGAGAGAAAGAAGAGCACGATTGAGTTTTCAAAGACGGACGGCGAATGAAGAAGCGACGGTCAATGGTGTGAAGGGGCGGGACTCGCGCGCGGTACACACTGTGTTCTCGAGGGCACGGCGCACGGCTGATGGGGTCCAGCGGCGACCTTCAGCCAGGAGGCCCGAGAGAAGCACGGCCACACAACCAGCAGTGTTGGGGCTGCTCATGCTGGTACCGTTCATGAGCTGGTTACTGTAGAGGTTCCACAGGGGCACGTTGGTGATGGCACCACCGGGGGCGCAGATTGAGATGCCCAGTGTACCGTTGGGCGCCGGACCACGGGAGGACCAGGTGTAAGGGTTCTCATTGACATCGTCGTGAGCCGAGTACAGCGGTGTGATCATGGCTTTGCTCACATAGGCACCGACGCCAATGAGATGGTCCGAGACACCGCCAGGGCAACCAAGGGTACAGAGCGCAGGACCACTATTGCTGGCTGACGAGATGAACGTTACGTTGTGCTTCCGCACTGCCTCTTGCATCACCTTGACAATGCGGCTGGCGGATAATCACATCACGGTGAGTGATGCAAAGGCAAGCTTATAAAATGCTATAAATGATGGGAAGCTATTCAGAGTCCATGGAAGATGTGCGGAGTGCGTACCCAGCGTTGATGACGCTTGTAGCCTCGCCAAAGCTGAGATTAATCACTTGGCAGCCAGTTCGTACGGCAGCCAGAACCTGAAGGGGTTGCAATGTGTGGTTCAAGGTCAAGTGGCGCCTGGGGTACGCAGGCACACTTTTGTGATGGAGAAAAGGCCAGCCACAGCTTGTGACGTACGCCGCGAATGAGGCCGGTGCCTGTTTCCATAGCATCGAGACGCCCATCACCAATCTTGATGCCAACGATTTCAGCACCGGGGGCGACGCCATGACGTTCTGGGTTCTCTGGATCAAAGGCGGCTACAATGCCAGCCACGTGCGTTCCGTGGGATCCTGCCATATCGATGCATTGCAGTGTCAGAAGGTGGGGGGAATGTCGGGTGGTGGGACACGAACGAACAGGGTGAATTAGCAGCATGGATAACAAATAAACAACAAGCGAGGCCAAGTGCGGCGGTGTGCGTGCAAGGGGCGTTGGGGCTCTTGGATTCACTAGAAAGCAAGCTCACCCGAGTCGGTGACGATGGTGAGCACGTTGCCGTCTTCGGCAATGTTGAAGCAGTAGTTGAAACAGTCTTGCTCGCCAAAAGCCGCATACTCGTAGGCCACATTGTAGTTGCGCATAACCTTCGCGGCGATCAAACTTGGTTCCTCAGTGCAGGTCACAGCGGCCCGCCATTGCTATCCGCAGGCAGGTTTTAGGTGCCACAAATTAGGGGAGGAAGGGGTAGATGCATTGTCAAGGCGAAACGAGAAAGGACACAGCCAACGACAAGAGCAAGGGCAAAAGGGGGGGGGGGGGGGGGGGG